GTGCGACGTGCTAGAATGAAAAATCTGCGGAATGTGATAATTCAATGTATTAGTACCCGCTAAAGTGCATTTGAACCAATAATATATTGTATATTTATATTAGTAATTTGATTAGTACTTAAAATTTTAATAAGATGTAATAAATAAGTTTAGTTTATTTAGTTTGTTTATTATTTAATATAAAAATAATCTAGTTGTTACCAACAATAACAGTTACCAGATTGTAATTGAGTTATAAAATCAAAATATACACTAAAGTTAATTATTATTAAAGTCAGTATTGGAGTTAAATTAAAGTTAGATTAAAATATAGTTTATAGTAAAATTTTATAAAGAATTTTTTTAATTAGACCACAAAAGGTGGTTTGATAGATAAAATTTTAAACTATTGTAAATTTTTGAACTATTGTAAATTTTTAAAAAATTTTAATGTTTTCTTTATTTTCAAGTTACACAAACATTATACCTGATCCTGTAATATGATTGGCCAATTGCAATCTGATGACTATTATTGCTAGTAACAAATAGATTCACTCTTTAATATAAACCAATATTTAAAAAATTTAAATAGTTTATTTAATAAATAAAAATTAAGAGAATAGTTGTTATATATAATATAAGTATACCTGATTAAAATATTGTTAATTATTAGTATAGACTTAGAAGAATTAATTTAAATGTTAGTTATATTAAAAAAAATTCAATTGCTAAAAAGATTTATAATAGTTCTTATTATAAGAATAAAATCCAATAAATGTTATTTATATAAAAACTAAATAATATAAGTTAATTTTGTTATATATTTTATATTTAAGATTAGTAAGTTAGAAAACTTATATAATATAATCTTTAAAGCTATTGAAGATATAAAAAATAAGTAAATCATAATAAATTCTTTATAGAAATAAAATAATAGTTTTATATTAATCAATACTGTTAACTATATAATATAATAAAGTAAGATAAGATTTGTAATATTTTAATTTTGTTAATTAGTAAATAGATCAATAATAGTATTAGTAATAGAATAAGGTAAAGTAAAATATTAAAGAGACTTTTAAAAAGAATTAAATTAACAAAATCATATGCTTTGATCATGTCTTAAGACAAAAACTAAATTATTTTCTAATTATATAATATATTTTTAATAAGCTTATTAAATATATAAATAGTTATAAATATGCTGTTATTAGATAAAGTTATATAATTATATAGTAAGAGAATAGAATGTTGTAAAAATACAATCCAATTCAGATAATAATAATCTTTGTATAAATATTTAAATATGTTTAATAAGGCTTATAATAAATAAAATTTAAATTGCTACTAAATATATTATATTTTAAAATAAGATAAATTCTACTATGTTTCTATTATTCAAAGTTGTAATAGTTATGAAACAAATAATATCTACATGTTTAAACATTTTATAACTAAAATCTGTAGATCTATAAGCTTTTTTATTAAAACATTTTGATATAGTTTGAATAACTTTTTTTAGTAATAAGTTAAGAAAATTGTATTGCTAAGTATTAATATATAATTTAAATTGCTATTGTATATGTCAAAAATTGATAAACAAATATTAATCAATTGATTAATGTGCTGTTTAGTTGAAAAAAAAAATTGTATATAACGTTTGATAAAATTTGATTCTGTAATTAATTGGTTAGGAAGTTTAATATTAAAAAATTAAATTAGAAGTTTGTAATAGTAAATTTTTTTAATCATTCTATTAAATATCAGTTTTTCTAGTTTATTTCCTATATAACTACTATTTGACAAGTTATATTCTAAGCCAAACTTATTGACTATATTCACTATATGCATCATCAGTATATCAATATTTTAATAATTAACCAAACTATAATAAATGATTGCTATTTTATTTTTTACTTATTTAAATTTAAAATCTTAGTAAAAAATACATAAAACTGAAAGATTTGAGTAAATGTTTTTTCATATTTGATGAATAATAAAGAAAATTAAATTGTTAAAATCATTAAAAAAGAACTGATGTAAATAAAATTAAAACTTTAATGTTTGATTGAAAAGAATTTTTTATTAAGTTTTTAAGTAGTATAGTAAACATTATAAAAAAAAAAGTATGCGTAAGCATTTAATTCTATAAATATGTTATCAATTGTGATGCTTAAGTGTTATTACAATTATTATCTGATCATTGCTTCAGATACTTGAGAACAGCCTATAAAAAATTATTTTATACTCAACACTTTAATTAATTACTAGATTGATTAATTGATCAAACATGAAACTGTAATCAAACAAATTGATTAAGTCAATACTAGAGTTGCCTGCTGCAAAGTCGCAACTTGCAATTTACAGCTTATTTATGTTGTAATTATTACAAAATAAGTCATCATTTACTAGATTAAGATGGTTACGTCTATTGCGACAATAAGTGCAACCCTAGTTGCGCTATAAAAAAGTCGCAATTCATATTTGCAGCAAGCAACACTAGTCAATACTACCTTGATATTTATATTTTGAGCAGTTTTATAAAACAGTAATACGAATGTTTCTTAAAAAAAATTTTAAATAAATTTTTTTATAATTTTTGATTACCAATCACAATTAAGTATTTATGACCAATAAAAAAATTGTGATTTTAAAGAAGTATCTTTTTTAATAAATTAGGTTGAAAAAGTTCTAAAAAATGTAATCGTGATTATACTATTAATGTGATTATATAAAGGGATTTCTAATACGTATTAAAAAAACAACTGTACAAAATCATGCGATTATATAGAGTTTGTGATTATATAGGAGGTGATTGTATGGGGAGGACAACTGTATATATTATTTGAAATTGTAAATAATTTTATACTTACCAACTAAGTTAATTATTTATAAATGATTTGATAAAATTTATTTAATTATATATCAAATCGCGTTGCCACAATATCATCGTGTAGCATAAACAAATAAAATACGCGATAACGCTTCATGATTAGAGTACAGTGTAAGATATAGCATATATCAAAATTTTGCAAGGGATTTTTTTTGTTAAGGCGTAAAAGACAATTTTATAGGCGAATTATTGAGCTACAACTGTTTTTTTTGTTTTTTTTTCAATTTTTTACGTTGCACCTGATCTCGCGATTGGATCATCACCGTTATAGTTGGTGGTAGAATTACCGAATCACGGCATTTTACCATATGGTAGAATTACTTACGGCATAGTACGTATTAAATGCCATAAATATTATATGCTGTAATGCTGTAACGTATTACGGCATTACGGCATTAAGGCTCAAAAAAATTACGGAAATTACCAAATTAATTCTACCACCAACTATAATCACGCAGGCAATAAATAGCAAACCTCTTTTAAATTTGTTATTTCAAATTTGTAAAATAATTTTATACTTAACGACTAATAAGTTAGTTATTAATAATTGATTAGATAAAATTCGGTAAATTATTAGGAATTTATAATTTATTGCTTATGCAATGTATTCCACCCTTTTTCTAACTAAATGGATTATCAATTTATAATTATTGTTTATGCAATGTATTGCACTTTTTTCAACTATATGGATTATCAATTTTGTATAATAAAAAAAATAAAATTTGATACACCAAAATTTCACGATGAGTTTTTTATTAGAACTCCAAAGGTGGTTTATAACAAAAAAATTTAATTGACAATATTTTGCATAAGCAATAAATTTTAAAACCCTACGCGTTTAATCCTTTAACTTGAATTGGAATCTATAAGATCAGAGTTTACTTATTACATATAGAGTAAACTTAAAATGAAATAAAAGCATGGACCGTTCAGATAATGCAAATAAAAATTTTAAAAAACAATTCTTAAATGCAGATAATGTAGTCAAAGAATTGCCAATTGTATCATAAAATATCCAAACTTCATGTACTCTAGTAAAATTATCGATACAAAAAATATCAAGTACAATAAATGTATTTATTTTAAAGAAATTATGCTTTATTATATTTTTATTTAAATTAATTATATGAAAGCTTTTGCCAAATAAACCTAATATATATTAAAAAATGATTGTCCAATTCTATATGTTTTTAAATAAAGAAGACTAGTAGGTGCATGCAATATAAAAAATAATCTACATCCTTTACACCATTTGTATTAACTGAACTATTCTAAATGAATACATGCTTAAAGCATATATATCAATATACTGTAGATCATCATTTCATTAGTTGAAGATAGCAGGCTTCTTTTAAGATTATAAAAGTATTGAACTTAGTCCATATTCAACCCCACCTCTAAAAATCAGTAATTAATGAACAATTCTTATAGACTATTATTCATACCAATTTTATTATTTGTAAAATAAAACTTTAATAACCAATTTAATTATTGAATTTAATTGGTGGCTTATTTATAATTTAAATTTATATTATATAAGTTACAAATAATGAAATTGAGAATATGAATATACTGTCTTTTATATAATTGCTTGAATAATATATATTATAAAATACCTTTCAATTGCGGCAATCTTTGAAAACCATACCACATTAATTCATATTACAGTAATAAAAAATTAATGTTAGTTATTAAAATTAAGTTAGTGTAAGTAAATTTTTTGACCATGTAAACAATCTTTACCGGATCATCTAGGAAGATTATGTTTTTGATCTTGTTATAATAAGATTGATTAATTCTCATCTGAAGATATTTGAATTCACTAAATCCTCCAACCAAAAACATTGCTGTGTAAGTAATTCCCAAAGTGAGTTGCAAACTAATCAGGTTAATAACCTTGTCTACTACAAAATCAAACATTAATTTAACTTCATCGAATCCTATATCGATTATCCAGTTATCTCTTTCTAATTTTGATCTTAAAGTTCCTATTACATATTGTTTCAACATTGGACATACTTTTTTAATGTCAAATTTAATAATTTTAAAATCTTTTTTAATTCCAGTAAAGGGTAACTTTATCTGACGCTGAAATTCACTTAACATATATTGAAATTGATCATTGTATTCTTTAACTAATGAACTTACGGCAAATTCACCGACTTTTTTCTCCAAAAATTTTAAAAATTCTTTGTCAACGCATGCACCACCCGCAAATTCAGTAGTTTTCAAGGATTTATTAACATTTTCATTTAATTCATTATTTTTCAACTCAAATGTTTTAAAATCCACTTTATAACAGCCACAGTCCAATATAACGATTGTACCTTGTTCTATTATGAATAAAAATTGTATTTTAGAATTTTTTTTTTGTAAAAGATACACTATAATGAACTAATAATTCATTGAGCGTACGTTTTTGTAACATTCTTTTACAATACATAGCCGCTGCCATGGCTAAGAGAAAAGTTTAACAAAAATTTTAAAAAATTATAAAGCATTTTGTAATACTTCAAATAAATAAAATAAAGAGAACAATAACTCACATTCTTCAATAAATTTCAACTTATCTGAATCTCGGGTTGATATTAAACCTATATATTTGATTATGATTGGATTATGAAAATTAGTGATTATAGCATCAAAAATTGGAACTAGGAATAAATTCCATTTTTTTCAATACCTGCTCTATAGATTGATTCTTTCATTATATCCTTTGCGTGTTCAGTATATTCTGCTGGAACAGTCATGACTAGCAAAACTTGATTAAAGAAATTAATATTTGGCCAAAATTTTAATAAAACCTCTTTTATGAGCTGTTATTAAAAAGATAAAAATTAATAGCTATGATATATAAATGAGTTATAATAAATATTTTATAACTTACTTTTCCTATTTATATTTACAAAAAATAAATATATTAAATAATTTCTTTTTTTTTATAGAAAGTGTCATAAAATTCTTAATTGCATATATACATACGCATTTCTGCTAAATAGTCTGTTATAGCTTTTTTATAATATAATCCTTCAGGTAAATTCGGTTTATCAAATTTTTTACTCAAATGAAGTTTGAAAAATTGGATAGGTGAAAAGCCTCCTTTAAATGTTTTTCGCATATTTGGTTTTTGTACTAATGCTGGTAATCCCCATGCCTCTACATTTTTAAGATTTTGATCATATCTCAATACTGTGTCAGTTTTTAATGGCCCTGTAAATTCTTGCCAATAATCATTTGCTATAATCTCTGAGGGATTGGACACATGTGCATATGCAAATCCCTGTTAAGAAGGGAGCATTATTTAATAATTTATTTTGATGAAAATAAATTATAGAATGAAAATAAATTATAGAATGAAAAAGAATTATATTAAAACATACCGAATGAGTTGTTCCAAAATCTATTTAAATATTAAATATTCACGTACAAAATGGATTAAAATATTTTTTATCAAATAACAAAATTTCAGGTGATAATTCACATTGTTCTTACCAATTGCTAATGTTAAAACAATAAATCAACATGTTATATTTGATTACGTTGTACGATTAGAATATTAAAATACGTACCAACCACGACCTTAATTGATGTAGATCCTAGTTTATCATCAGATAGTGACATTTTATTATAAGGAGTTTGTGAATTTGAATGCATTTCTGTGTAATATTGACGATTTTTAGTTGATACTGGTTTATAATAGGAACTTATAGATCCTAAATCATCAAGTGGTGGATTTTGTGAACTTTGCGAATTTGAATGCATTTCAATATAATATTGATTATTTATTGTCGAGTTTTTGATAGATACTACATCATTTATTGAATTATCGTTTTGAATTTCATTTAAAGTTTCATAAACCGATCTTATTCCTGGGCGAACGCTAGGATCAGAATCCCAGCATCGTTCATAAAGTTTAACATATAATAATGGTGTACCCTCTATAGGCGTTTCCCGGGTTCCATTATTGACTTGAATGGGAATTGAATACCCTGCTCCAAGGGATTGGAATGGCGGCCTACCACTTGAAATTTCCCAGAGGATTACTCCAAAGCTATAGATATCCGATTTTTTATCTCGTTTGTACTTTGAATTCATGAAACATTGAGGTTCTAGATATGCCGGCATTCCATAAAGTGTTGAGACTGAAGTTTTTGATGTTTCATCGATCTGCTTGGCTAATCCAAAATCTGCAATCATAATTTGTCCATTATGGATTAAAATATTTTTTGAATGCTATGTAATAATATAAATGAAATGAAATTATCTGAATATGAGCATAACAAACATTTATAAATAATATGTATAGTAAAATTTTAATAGTGTGAATGAGTTTAAAAGAAATTCTTTGAGACTAGTCTTAATTGACATACATGAGGAATATACCTTACATAGGTCTAAATATTGATAGATAAATGAAAATAAATCGTACTTACGAGGTCACGATGAACAATGTTATTGCAATGTAGGAACATAAGACCATATACTATATCCTGCGCAATTTTTAATTTATCTAACCACTGCAGTTTTATAAAATTTGTTCCTAAGTATTGCCGTAGGTTTCCATCGGCGGCAAATTGTAGAACCATATTATAATATCCATTATTATCTATTTTTATAATTAAGATTACAAATAAATCAAATATAGTGTAAGAAACTAGTTAATATTTGCAAATTAGAAACTTATACCTTTTGTAACGCCATAGAATTTAATAATATTTGGATGTGAGCAAACACTTCGTAATAGCTTGAGCTTTTATTGTAACAAATGCAAGGATTTAACAACTGTGACAATATATTCCTCAAGTAGAATTTACAAAATAAATCATACCTCCTTAATAAATTCTTTAATAGAATTTTTGTCCAAGTTTCCATCTACTTTAAGACATTTAAGAGCGATTATTAATTCACACTCTTTCCATTTATATTTATAAACCGTTCCAAAACCTCCGTCTCCAATCTTTGAACAATAAACAAGCCTATGGTAATCAATTATATTGAGATGTCCTTCAGAAATAGCTTTTTCAAGCCATTCTTGTGAAATGCTTGTCATAATTTGGTCAAATACAAAATTTCTAAATTATTGCACTAACTGAATCAAAGAACAAAATCAGATCGCTTTTTTTGCGAAAAAAGTTTGATTTGTACTGAGATTTTGGTATTCTTAAAACTTGCCATCCACATGAACATCAAATGCACCTACCCGAACCTACTGCTCAATGTATGCAAAAAAAATTAAATCCAGGGGCTTATCACAACTTTTGAGCACATGGTGCAGCAATCACACGCAGGAGGAAGCTTTGTATTAGTTGTTTTCTAACATATATGTATATTCAATAATCAGTACGGAATATCTTTTTCGTAATTTGATTGATTGATACATTCGAATTGTTTTTATGCATATTTAATTATCGAATGTTCGATTATGAGAAAACAAATGAGATTAAAAAACAAAAGTATTACTGCATATAGTTAGTCATTTTCTTAATGCTACCATTGTTAACGTTAGGGTTTGTATCTATATTTGTTTTGATTTTATGTTACACCCTGTTTTTGACAAGGATTTGTCTTGGTTACACCGGTACATTCGGAATAAATTATCGTTATCACCCCGTCTAAAAATCTTTAGCCAACTCTTTTAAGTTCTAAAGTTTTTTATGCATAGATATGTGAATTGATTCTATTCGTTCGGAGATCACTGGCCGATGTAAAAGAGTATGTAGAATGTGATATATATATTTCTATAATGATAAGAAAAAACACCATTGGCGTTGCTCATAGAAAATCCGGGACAGGTGCATCAATCTCCGAATTTCAATTCAATATTAATATTACGAACATTAATTCTAATAATGTGATTAGATATTAAGTTTCGAGGAAAGCATCTGTATGCAGTAGTCAATAGTAAATATTAATATTTTAATCTTGCAAATCTAATTTTATATTCGAGTATAAGTCATGATATTCGAGTAATATATCTGGATACTAATCTGACTTACTACTATAAGGTGGCATTAAATCCAATATTATATGGTATATCTTGACTTTGCTAATTTTTAATTTAGAAATTAATCTGTTGACCCTAGTAGTAATAGATATGGCCCAATTAAAAGACGTTATTACCCGACTGGCTCTTATGAGAGTACAATCTCTTGGAAAGTTGCATAAATAAGAATTGGTTATACGCCATATCACACTAAAAATAACGAGAATGGTATTCTACGAGTCTTTGTTTAACCTTGTTGAGTTTATATAAACAAGTAATTGAAGTTTGGAATCTATTTCAACTACCATTGATTTTTTTGTTTTAAATCACACTTATTAAATGAACGAGGAATAAAATTTAGTATTTACGGCGTACATTGTTGTATACATAAAAATATCTATGCATTTCATTTATTACTTTACGCATAAGTACTTATACGTATGAATATCAAAATTAGATACAGTATGTTAATCATTTAATATATTACAAAATTAATAAGATTATTATAGCTTTTCACATTTGAAAAGAAATAAAAGGTTCAATCATTGATTATTTAATCGTTTATTATTGTAACTTGTTGACTTTATGGACCCTTCTATGATTTGTACTTGGGGGACACACCAATTTAACGAATATACTTAATGAGTAAAAATATATTGAGAAAAATACATCGTGAAAAATACATTGTTGGCGAAAATGTCAAACTCTAAAGCACATTCAGAATTCGTTTCATATATTCAAAATTATAATTCACATATAAAAAGTGATAACAATAGCTATAAAATTGGAAAACAACGTTCACCCAAGAGTAAGTGCACAACTCCCGAACCAATTATTGATTATGAAAGACAAGTAGATCGCAAACAATTCCAACAATCACACTCCTCAAAGTATTTGCACCCCGATCAACCATTAACTCATTCATCAAGGAATATGCGTACGAGTCCTGAACCAAGAATTAAAAATGAGATTCGCTGTTGTAAATGTAGTCAGACTGGACATTTTACAAGTGAATGTCCGCAACACAATAAACAATCTCAATCTAATAATCAGTTTTCACAACCTCAACATCCATGTTTCCAGAATACCAATCACCAATTTCAACAATTCCAACAATACCAACAATGCCAACAACCGTCCTTTGATCAACTACAAGTGCAAAATTTTTCAATAAGTACACCTCAGGAATCTCAACATTATCAACAATTTCAACAATCTCAACAACCATATCCCTTAACATATTTGCATGATCAACTGATGCAAAATTATTCAAAAAATACACCAAGTACACCAAGAAATCATCAGAATCAATCTCATTCACTCAAGAATAAGCGTACAAAATCTGAACAAAATATTAATCAAACCTATCAAAAATCTCAATTTAATCAACAATTTCAACAATCCCAACAACCATTTTTCAATAAATCAAAGAATAAGTGTACAACATCTGTACCAAGCACTAAAAGTGATAATCGAAATTATAAATGGGACTTTAAAAAAGATCGTCAACAATTTAAGGACAGATCCCATCAGAAACCTCATCAATCACAACAAATTGAACCTAGTCAAACAGTTATTGTTAATATCGTACAATCTCAGAAAGCTCCTAAGCAGGAGCAAGCTCGAGAAAACCTTTTTTCACGCCTTTTAAAAAAGAAAAGTGATTTAACCAAGGAGAAGTGATTTAACTAGGCGAGTAACAAAACTTAATAACTATTTAAATAATGAATAATGTAATTAATTATTGCATAAATATAATTTCGGTTGATATTTTTCAAATCATAATAACATATCTTTTAATAAAGTCTAAATTATCTAAAATATTTTCCATAAGTGAAAATCATAATTATATGTAAAAGTGTTCTACAACTTTTGTATGTTACAATCGGTTACACAGATGTGGTAAACGCGGAAAAACTCGGTATAAATATGCCGTCATTTCTATTTTTACTATTTATATCCCATCACGTTTACACACCATATTGCATAAAGAACTTATACATTGATTAAAGCATTTATTACTATTGCGAAAGTAGTGAATTAAAAAAAGTTTTTTTTAAAAAAAATTTCCTTTAATAAATTTTTGGTTTTACATTTTAAAATTGAAGCTTAAACCTTTTGATTTTTTAGGGAGAAAGTTGTATTAAATATCAATAGTTCACAATTTATTTAGTCTGCGAGTATAAATAATTATTAATCGTCAAAAAATTATTTATTTAATATGTGAGTATAAAGAATATTTAGTATGGGATTTCAAAATTAACTTATTTCGAAAATAAAAAGATCCTATTCTATTTTAAAATTCCGACTCAGGAAAATTAAATACTGCAGATGCCGTGGTCCCGTGATTTTTATCCAATCTGATTGTAAGAAATGTAAGATCAGCGTGTAACATACAAAAAAGGCGAAAAAAAAATAATAAATCACACAAAAAATTCAAATTCGCAAGGGAAATCAGACTTTCTGAAACCCTCTAGTAACTTACAGTCTTAAGTGTTATAGGCTATTTATAAGTTAACTAATATTTATCATTTAATTCCATTTATTTTTTATAGGTAAATTCCTTTATTGTTCACACGAACTTTATTAATTTCTCAATATATGAAAATTTAAACGATTTATATTTCATTTCTTGATAGAATTCTACAAATTTGTCGTAGTTAACTAATAATAATTATATTTGATATTAGTACTATAAAACTCTTTAATTAAATAAAAAAAAATGAATAAAAATCAAATAATAGGAATTGTAGTTATGTAATAATTCAATTTAAAGATCATTAAAATAGGTATGATAAACACTATTGCTCTTTCCATTCATTTACCCCATTTTAGAAAACGAGAAAACATATTAGTTTTTGGAGGCGCTACAATATTAACAACAACGGTTTGCTTGTGTTGATTTCGTCTGTGCTGATTTTTAAGTCGTGGACAATTTTTTTTATAATGCCCAACCTTTCTACATTCATAACAACGATTATCATTTCTTTGTGGGCGAGGTCCGTGATTCATTAGTAACGGTTGTGGTAAATTTACTTGTGTATAAATGAGGGTTGGTTGTTGTTGTTGTCCGAAATACTGAAATGGCACAGGCGTGTATCCCATTTTTCTTCCATCACGAGCGTAAGACATTTCGCTGGCGAGATGTTTTTTTTATTTACGCGTATGTGATAAAATAATTCAACGTTTTTACTAGAGTTTGTCAAGTAATACGCTTTTATGCGTAATTGTTGAATTATTGTTGGAGTAAGTTGACAAAAAAATTTTGTCGATTACGACCCTTTTATTTTATTTTGTTTTCATGGTGTAATCTAGTAAAACAAAAAAAAATAATAAATTTTAAATGCATGAAGAATATCTAATATCAGGGGCATAATTTATCAATATGCGTAAAATAATGAATGATACATAAATATTTTCACAAATTTTATTTCGCTCTTTTGTTGGACTAATGGCGCACTAATAAATTCAAGAGAGCAGAGAAAGTAATCACAATATATTAGATTTTGATTCAATTTTTATGTGAGATAAACTTTTCGGAATTCTTTTAATGTAGTGTTACTATTGTATGAGTTAGACAAGATAATGCTCCAATAGTCGAAAAGTATAATTCTTTTGCGACGGGTTTATTCTAGTAAAATGCTAAGATGCTTTGATAATAATTATTACAGCTGATGCTTAAGTTTGTTATTAAAATTGAGAGTATATTTTTTATTAGGATCCGTATTATTTCGCCGACAATCACTTTATAGACACCACATTTAACCGATAATTATTCAATTTACCGACAAGGTTATTTCACCGAAGCTCATTTTCACCGGCAAGTTTTTTTTTTATAAATTGCACTAACTTTAACTCTAATTCTAACCTGACCCTAACACAATAGCTAAAACTACCTTGTCTGTGAAATGACTTGTCGGTGAATAATTGTCGGTGAAATGTGGTGTCTATGAAGTGATTGTCTGTGAGTTGATTGGAACCGTTTTATTTATTACACAACAATTATTCAGGTGACATATTTACATGAATCTCAGCTTTTATATATAGAATCTGGTGAGTTCGAATATTACAGAATTATCATTACAGAGTTACATACCTCATGTAATACAAGTTTTTCATTGACCAAAGAGAATTATGATTGATTAAATGAACATATGTGCTAATTTTGTTTGTACCCCAAACTTTAGTATGTTATAAATAAGTCAGTCAGATCAATTGACTACGTAATTATTATGTAATTTAAAATATACTTTATGATAAAATTATTGATAGTAAAGTTATATAAATATATTTTCAATTTAAATTTTATCGTTGTATTTCAATTATTCAATCTTTATACAATAGTTATGTCGCAAAGTCGCAACAAATCTATATATAATTATGAACACAATTACCCGCAAAATAAAACAATTAAATGTAAAACAAAAACATATACAT